AAAAAAAAGCAATTTTATTTCTTTATATATATATTAGAAGTTAGTTATTTAATATTATAAAAAATTTTAATTTGATTAAACTACTATTGGCTGCAGTTATATCTGAAGTAAATGGTAGAAGCACTCTCTCTCACATAATAAACAGTAACCTCTCCCCGCTCAGGGTTTTTTTGCGTGTTTTGCGTTTGCATTTTTTGTGGTTTGGGTCAAAGTAATGCTGCATCTTTTTGGTTTTTTTCCCTGTTGTTGTTTTCCTCTTTGATGTTTGCTCTGTGGGTTCAACAATGGATTTCAGGCCTAGCTTTCATTTAATAGGAAATTGACTTTTTTATTTTTATTTTTTGTTACATTTAAAGGTAATTGTTTGGGGCCTCAAATGTTTAAACTTTTCATTTGGACTCACAATTAAAGTATTTAAATTAACAATTTCAAACCTAGAGGTTAAACGTATTCTTGCAGATTTTACATAAGGCAAAGTTTGGTTTTTTGGAGTTGATAGTGGAAAATTTGATAGATAAGTCACCCTTACTGTTATTTTATTGAATTGTATATAAGATTTAGTTGTTTTCGCATTATATAAGTGTAAACTTTTGACTTTAATCTTAAATTAAAATTTTTAAGTTAATAAATACAAACTCAACTAAATTATCATTAATTTTAATTGAAAATTGATTGCACAGCATGTCTTTTCCTTCCCCTTAGAGCTTGTTTGTAGTGCAGAATTGGACTTGATGGGGATGTGATTCTAAGGATAAGATTGAATTAGATTAGATAGGATGGGACATGTTGGAATCCAATAATATGCTTGGTTGATTATTGGATTAAAACAAGTTTAGGTAAAAATATTTCCTGTATTGACAAAAATACCCCTAATATTATATATAAACTCAATTTACACAAACTACTTTTATCTTTAGGGAAAGTTCTCTTATAGTGATTTGGTGAGAGTTTCACCCTTATTAAGTGGAATCCTTACTTCTTCTTCTTTTTTAACAGTATACAACTTTTAGGGAATTTGAGGAAAGAAATTTTTTAATACGTTGGTAAAACTCAAAACTCGAACCAACTAATTCAAATGTCTTAACATTTGAGGTGAACCACTTGGATCCGAAATCGACTCAAATGAAATCCTTACTTTTTTCTTTTTTTTTGGAACAAGTTGTCAAGGAACGAGTTTCGAGAAAGAGAAATGCACCTCAAGTTGGCATGGTGCTAATTGGCCTGAAAGGCAGGTGCAAATGAAATCCTTACTTTGTGTTTCAAAGCCATGAAGATGTAATTACCTTATAATAAGTGCGTCAAGAGGTTTTGAAAAGTCTATAATACCCTGAGACACACATATGCGTCAGAAATATTAATAATAAATTAAATTAAATATTTCTTTGCTTGCATTTTTCTCAGAAATATTAGTAAAATACGTACTAATAAATCGTTTCAAACTTTGCTTTCGTTTTTCTTCGTTTCCAGGATTTTCCTTTTCATTTTCTCGAGCCCCAAACAAATTCCATCTGCACAGGATGTTGACCACTACACCTGTCTCTCCATTTTCTTTTCCTCTCTAGTAATTTTCCTTTTCCCTCTGTTCCTGAGAAAACTAAAATTCCTCTCCCAACTTCGAATGGTATATTAACACCAAATTTTGTTGGGGAAGCAAAAGGACTACTCTCAGCAGGGTAAAGGAGAAAGCAACTATTATTGGAGACTTATCAAAATGAATGAGGAGAAGGCGACATAGGCAACAATTGATGTAGAAATCGAGATTGGAGTATTCGTCCAGTGAGAGAGATGAGAGGATATATTTGTGCCTCTTGATTTTAGGAGAAAAGAAATGGAATGGGATGATCCAAGACTACAGAAAATGGACGAGATCTGAGATTAATGAAAATGGAAGAGATTGGGAACAGAAGATGAAGAAAGGGATAATAGGAGACTTAGGAGAATCCATATCTATAGCTGAAGATGAAGAAATAGATGATTGGAGACTTGAACAAAGGAGATCAATGTTGGTAGGATGAGCCAAGCAACGCCAGAATTAGTAGGATAAACAAAGCAACGTCGGATGTTCAAAAAAAAAAAAAACAAAGCAACGTCGGAATCGGTGCCTATGACGTGCCGTGTCGGAGTATAAAATAGTATGGAAGAAGGACCCGAGAGAAAATCATGGGGTAGAGAAAGGAGGGGTACAAAATTAAAATCGAATTTATCCCACCTAATCCTTTGGGGGAGGTGGGATAACTTTTGTACAAGTGAGGATGGATAAAACATGGGATAATACTGTATCCTATCCTCTTATCCTACCAAACATGCGACATAGGACTAGGGACATAAACCTTATCCTACCCCACGCTATATCCGGCACTCCAAACAAGATCTTCCAAATAAATCCCAATCATTTATAATAAAAAGATAAATAATTAATATTTTGTATAAAACTTATATAAATTAATCTTAAATCTTACATTAAAAATAAAAATTGAGTTCCTTATTTAACAGTTTAAACTACATCAAATTGAAAAATAAGAATCATTAAATAAAAAGAAATCCTGTAACGTCTAATGGTCTATCTCCATCCAATAATTATGATTGTATAGTTCTAAATAATTTAAACTGTACAATATTTTTTCCATAAAAATTACAGATGATTTCATGTTCAATAGTAGATAATGGCAAGATGGTACTGACAAGGACAGCAATTAAAAATAAAAATTAAGTGAAATATAATTTAATTCCTATTCTAAGTTGAAAACAAAGCACAGATATATACATTAGATGTACTATAATTGTTCAGTATAACTAAAAACAAAACCTGTAAGTAATTATAATGATTTCATGTTCAATAACAGACAATGGAAAGATGGTTCTTACAAGGTTGTTCGTAGGAACTGTACAATAAAATAAAGGACTGCTAGAAGAAGTGCAATTTGGTATGCGTCTCTTTGGAAGCTGTCGTCCCTTTGAAAGAACTGAACAAGGAGAAAACTAGCTAATGAGAATCAGAAGAGTAACAGAAAATCTAATGCCTGGAATTTGAAAGCTTGAGGCTTACATCAAACTTAGTGTTGAATTCTATGAAGGAAAGAAATTTATCTTTCAAATTTAAGTATGTAACAACAATGGGAGTTGAACTCAAATCATAAGAAGAATGTTTAATCATCTTGTATAAATGCATATGGCACTTTCTGAGAGTAGAGTAGTTTAATTAGAGTGTAATGCATGGATGAATAAGAAGTACCAAACAACTCACCTTTGTTGGATCGCCAGAAGGATCTGGATAAGTTTCTAAGTTCTCATTTTCGGTTGAGACACGGGTTGTCAAGTTCTTTGCTACATCAGCCAAGTCCTTCCCTGACTCAATTGTAGCAAAAAGACGGCGTGATGTCCAGAAATATGCCTGAGCAATGATTGATGAGGCTGATAAATCCCAGAACTCTTCATGCTCAATCACCTGGCCACTAATCTGGTTTAGAGTGAACTTTGAATTGACTCTTATTATTAGATCTCCTCCTATGCTAGCAATAAAAGATTTTGGCCTTCCCTTTATTGTCCACTTGATGCTAAGGACACTGGTTGACAACATCACCATTTCCTGCACTGCCTATAAGAAGGAAAAGGAATATGATATTGAATCAATCAGTATAAATAACAGTGGGAGCATGTTAGACTACGAAGCAGCTAAACAACATACTGAATGAGAAACATAAACAGTGTATAAGTAAGACAATTCCTTAGAAATTTAGTGCAAACTTGACACTGAATCAAGCAAAGGCAATGAAATTGGTCGTCTAAAATCCTGAACTTCAAATTGATGTTAAAAAAGTCCACAACTAAAATTTCTAAACTCTATATCAGGGGTACTAAATGTACCAGTCACATCAATGAGGAAGGAATAGATGAAAACCTCTTGGGTATGAAAGAAAAAGCAAGCAGCACTGCAAAGTTTAGTGACTTCAGTCATGCCATGACACCATGAAAGTTATTGACTGTTGATTCTCATTTAAAAAATAAAGAGAAACAGTGAATGGGAAGGCAGAAAATTTAAAAGTATAAAAAACTGTTTAACATTCAACCCTTACCACAAAAGGCTTCTCTAGAGCTCCAGTAACCCAGAGTGGTCGCTTGTACTTCTCACGACCAGTAAAACTTCTTACTGGATCCTGCATTACTATCATAGTATAGTATTAGACAAAAAGCCATAGAGCATATTGCTAACAGACATCACCAAAACATATTCTGGACCTAGAAGATAAGTTTTCTTTTTCATTATCACCAACTAGAGCAATTAACCAGCCAATGGTTATCGAGAAAGTGTTACTAATGAAAGCAATAAGGTGGTGACCAAACACTGATGTGATAATTAAACAATATATGCACTATCCCCAGTTCTATTCTACCCATGTATATGTTAGTCTAGAAGACCAGTTATTAGAAATTTCTGTAATATGAGTAACAAGAGCATCAGCTAGTTCATTTTCTTTTCTAGACATATGAAACAAACCACCAGCGGAAAAATTTGACAAAAGCTTTGGAACCAAAAGTACAATGACTTGATTCAGAATTCAGATAACACTTAATGTGCTCAATTAGGTTCAAAGATCTAACTATGAAAAGATTAAGAAATTAGTAAATGTTCAACATTGAATAAATACCTTGTACTTGACAGAAACTGCATACGTTCCAAGAGCACGATTCCCTTCTCGAAGCTCTAGGATATCCCTTACGAGTTGTCTTGCTGTTGATTCTACCAGTGGGCTACTGATGCACTCAAACTCATTGCAAAGCTCACCAAAATCCATTCCATCAACTATCTTATCAGCTTCTGATCTCTCAGTGATAGAGTCAGGAGACAATTCAGTCCTAGAATCATTTGTAACTGCAAGATATCAGAAGCAACAGGTTAAGATCTAATGCAGAACTGAAATATAAATGATCCCCTCAAAGAGTAGTGGCTACTCATGTATGAGAAAATTAATCTTGGCAATATAATCAGTTTTCTTCTTTTGATACGTCAACTTCCCATGACCAAGGTGTTTAGAAAAGAAAGTGTGATTATAGAAGCTATATCTTACAAAAAAAATTTTCCCAAAAGCAAGATAGCTTTTACAGAAAATTTTTCTTTTTTCCTTTTTGAAATCAACCTGCTACTAGATGATAAATAAGAAGAGAGAAAAGAAAAGAATTGACAATTAGAAATTATTTCAGACAAGTTGTTGCAAAATTAAGCCAGGACGTTAGCGCAAAAGTGGAAGGCTCATTGAAATTTACAAATGAAAATATTTAACTTAGGAAAAGTAAGATAGTTATTACACTGAGAGATCAGCTAGAAGTAAACTATTCGTATCTCCATAACTTCATAGTGAAGTACAAGGCATAGAGGAGATGGATTTCAAGAAACAGAAAAAGTTCAGAAGGCATGACAATGTGGATGAATGATGAGTATTTGTTTACAATAATACCTATTACACCCTCTTAATCAATTTCTTTCTTTATGGATACATAGAAATTTTAGTTGTTTGATTGATTGTGTATGTTTCTACTTTCTGTTCTTAAACTGCTTCTACAGTGATGACAAGGATTGAGCTGCCTAGAGTTCTAATTTCATGAAATATCATAGAAAAAAAGAAGCCAATCACCAATTAATTCTGACCTAAAATGACCAATTGTTAGTTGCCACCTCATTTGTATTTAAAGAGCAGCATTGTGCTTTGGACATGAACCGTGCTTACTTGTTGTTGTCAAAGTAGCTGCAAGACACTCTTTTCATACTCTTTTGATCCTTATAATAATCACCACCGAAACCCATTCTAGATGCAACTAATGAAATGACCAAAAACTATGCTTATTTCAGCCTTCAAAGCGACAGCCATGCCATTTAATAGCTAACTCTATGTCCAACATGTGTTTGATGCATTTTTTAAGATGTAGCTGAATCGAATGGCCCCGTCAAGTGGTGAGCATTTCATGATACATATATACACATCTAAATACTACTTAGCCCTTCAAAATTACATAGGTATATATATACTCGTATCCACGTGTAAATGTATTCAGACAAAACCGTGATTCATATGCATAATACATTCACATAAACACATATATACACATCTTCTAGTATGAAAAATCAGAAAATGTCTGCAAATGAAATAACAGAAACTAAAAGGGGTTGAAATTATTCAATTTAATTAATTTCAGTACTTCCCTTCAA